AACATGGAGAAATGTTATTGCGCTCAAAAGTCGTTCAAAAATTCAAGATCGAGATCCAGCAAATTTGGTCGGCGTCTGGGATTTTCCGAAGGCGGGCGGCTGTAAGTGGGTCGGACATAGTTTAGCAGGATGATTAGCTTCATTTTCAATTCATCGTGTTAAGTAAAAAGTAAATTAGTCTATGCTGTCAAATAATTGTCCTGTAAATGTAATTCTCATTGAAACGCCCATGCATGCCAAATACCCCGTAGCAAAGACATACCCACAGCGCCAAAACACCATTCCATCGCAAGTACATGCTTTTAAAATCCCCGACCACATCATCAATCAACACCAGCATCACCTCGCACCAATCATCTGCCTCCGCTCCATCACCTCCTCGTTCGCAGCCAAGAAATCATCCTCTCCAATATCACTCGCCTCATCCCAGAACTTCCCATGCTCATCCCCATCATCCCCACTAACCGTCCACATACTCTCCCGTAGTCGCTTATTCCGTTCTCGATCCTCTTCAATGCGCTGCTCAATCTGTCGTTTATCCACACGCATCCCACTGCTTTTGGACCCTCTCGGCGTCCCATGCTTGGACCTCGCGTCACCACCACCATCTCCACCAGCACCCCCTTCTTCAGCTTCCAGATCCAAATGCGCGGGGTGAGTTTCCCGATCCTTCAAGCCCGCATCAATCTCCGCGATCGTCTCGGCGGAGAGAATTTCCTTGCTCTGTAGACCGTTCAAGACTCGTCGGACGTGTTTGACGTTGGCGGCGCCGGAGCCATCGGCGGGCGCGACGCAGTCAACGATGCGGAGGATGTCGCGTTGAATCATGCGAACGTAGGGCGCGTGGTCTTCTTTTGTGGCCATGTCGCAGAATTGTTCGATGAAGTACATGATGTTGGCGCGGTTGTTCATGTTGTTCTGGGGAGAAAGAGAGTACATGGTTAGCTTGATTGCGTATATGAGAGTTAAATTGGACAGAAGGTGTGGGAGGGCGCACTCTTTCTAATTGCTCCAGGATGCACGAGTGTAGGTCCTCGTCCATGTCACGGTATTTGAGCGCATAATGCGCCGCTTTTTGGGATGAGGTCACCGAGGCGTTCAGGTGCTGCAGCTGCGCTGTGAAGCGCATGCGCACCTCGAAGGGATCGACCATCATCTTGGTGGATGGGGCGTGGTCTGGATGTTTATATCGAGGAAGTGGAGGTAGGAAGAAGATTCGACAGTTTATAAGGTGACTAGAAGTACTGATTCCATGCCGCGGCGATTGATCGAGACTGGCCGATGGATGGAGGGCCTGAATGGGACATTCCGATTGGAGATTAAAAAGGCGGTGGGATGCGATAAGGCGGGCAGAAATTGTGGGGTTCATTTGCTTGTCCAGTCATGTGCTTTGCTTTATAGCATACCAATTGACATCACCGTTGTTGCTTTATGCATATCAATTCTCTCTTGTGTTTACTCCGTGATAATCTTATAGCTTGGGGTAAAGGACGGGTGGGTTCTTTAAAAAGGTACTATTTACACAACTGAAGCAAAGTCTAGATACATGCCCACAACAATACTGCCCTAAGCCACTATCTGAGGCATAAAAACCAAGAAAAACAAGATCCCGTTTGTAAACTCCGAGTTACCCAAATTCAATACATATTTCGAAACTTATAGTAAGATATCACGACACATCACGACATGCAAAATAAGTAATCCAAATCGTAATTGAGCATGAGATGAAAAGTATATGTTTCGATGCATCGCTCAAGAGACACTCAAAGCGACTGTCGTCTTTCTATAGTGCTGGCAAGGCTGGTCCTATCATCGCTGTCAAGCAAGCCAACTTCCTCTGCCATAGTTCCCGGATTGAATGTCCTCTCGCGGAGACTTTCGTCCTTGTAGGCGTCCGGGCCGCTGACCACAGACCAAACGTCTTTTTTCGTCAGCAGTCCCTGAAGAACACCTTTATCGGCGAGCAGAACATAGCGGAGACCTAGCCTCTGGAACATGCGGAGCACAATTAAAAACGTGGTGTTGCTGTTGAGTGTAATGGGTGTTTGATCCATCCAAGGTCGAAGATCCAAGGTTTCAGCAGGATCCGCAAAGGGTTGGTGGCTGAAGAAGACCTGCGTCGCACCTGACAACTCATTGTCCGACGGCTTAGTAGAGTACTTGAGAGCGTATGTAAGCTCATTGCGCGAAATGTATCCCAGCAAGATGGGATTCGACGTATCGGTAACGACCGGAAACCCACGGTAAGAGGTCGTTAGGAGGAGGCCACGAAGTGAATCGATCGTATGGCCAACAGCGGTGATGACAGTCATATCATCAACAGTGGTCATCACTTTATGAGCGGGAACGTCCGGTGGAGTTGTATCATCACGGTGATCGAGGAAAGGGTACTCGTTCAGCTGAATCCAAGACTCATAGATACCACGCTTTCCGAATATATCACCGCACCATTTGGACAACATGACTGCAATCATGATGGGAATGACATAAGTCAAAGCACCAGTAAGCTCGAACATGATGACCACAATTGATACAGTCATCCTCGTGGCGCCTCCGAGTGCCGAAGCTGCACCGATGATTGCATATATTCCAGGGGTCACACACGGGACATCTGGTTCGCATTTGCCGAACAAAAAGAATCCCGGGTAAGCCTCTTGCCACATCCGAAAGGTCATTCCCAAACCACGTCCATACAGTGCTCCGATAGCAACAGATGGAAGGATGATACCCGCGGGTATGTCCAAACCAAAAGTTAATGAGGCAAGGAAGAATCCCAGGAGAGCAGCCATAAGCAAGAGGGCGATGGTACCCGCTGACGAGGCGCCCGTCTTGCAAAGGCCGAAAGGATCATCAGTTACAGTGCCTGTCCCACATTCTGCAAACAAAGAATGAACAAGTTCTGAATTCTGAGCCCTCATAAACAAGTTCGGGAAATTGATCAGAGCGCTCAAAAGAGCGACAACCGCAACCTCAATGATCGGGCGAGCCCAATTCCGAGATCGTCGCCAGGTTGCAATCTTCATGTTCAACCGAATGAGGAATGCCCCGTAAAGGCCACCGACGATACCAAGAATGACAAAAGGTATCATCTCAAAACGATGCCACTCGCGTGTATACTTGACTTGGTAAAGGACGATGTTGCCCGTGCGGAATGGGTTGAGCGCGTGCAGGGTGACGGATGCAACCATGGCACAAACAAAGCTCTGCCACATTGTTTTGTCCGGGAAATAGTACGACAGTTGCTGTTCACAGATTTAGAATCCAACTTTCCCTGATGATCTTGGAAATTTACCTCTAGACTGAACAGGACACCACCAATGGGCGCTCCAAAAGCGACGGAGACGCCCGCTGCGGCCGCTGCTGATAGCACTTCGCGTTTCCGCGCTGTAAAATTAGCCCAAGAAATCCAGTAAGGGATCGTGAGAAATACCTTCGTTATGATTGAGGCTATGGAATGGCTTCATCATAACACTAGCGCAACAACATGCGACATGGATTAAAGGGCCCTCTTTACCGAGCCACATGCCGGATGCGACGGACAAGCACTTGGATATGTCAGCAAGGATGCAGTGATGGGCACAGGGTCGTACATACAAGGCCCAACGATTTGATTGCAAGGGTCCAAGGCCCCATGAAATGCCTTATTACAAAGCCACCAAGGACGGTCTTGATTTCAGGAATACCGCTATGTCTTGCGTAGATGGCGTAGGTCCGAACCAGAATGCATGCGCAAATGGCGAAGAACACCTGTTTCTTGATTAACACACTGCTTAATGGTGTTCGGAGAGGTTGAAGTACAGAGTAAAGGATGTAGAAAGTATACTCCAAAGCATATCCCCCACCCCGCGAGGAGACACCCAGGGCTTTCCTCCACGGTGTCCAGTCTAAACAATCAGAGATATCTGGAGGGAATCCGTTAGCAAGGAGACAGGAATATCTGAAAATAGCGGCTCACCGTCATGCCCCCAGCAGCAGAAGCTCCGATTCAAGTAGAACCTGCCACCCCCGGGGCCGGCTTTACAATAGCCAGTTTTAAGATCTGCTAACCAATCACTAGCAACATCGATACCAGCCGCAATGATCCCAACCAATATGCCTGTAGCAATCAACACGATCCAGACGTTACTGGCGTCCAATAGCTTGCGTAGATATCCAACAACGCCTTGTCCGCTCGCATAGAGGAGCCTCTTCCTTTGTCTTTCTTTGGTGTATTCGAAAATCCAATCGATTGCCGTAAGGTTGTCATAACCAACTCGTCGTCCTGGGCCCTCTACATACCAGTCCAAGAAGCCCGAGTCTTTGTGCGCCAAGTTCCCATTGCCGTTGCCATTGATCGGCTCCCCTAAGGGCTGGGCGTCATCCGAGCGTTGTTCATTCCGAAACCACGAGCCTAGTCCAGTACTTGTCGCAGGCTCAGCATAACTATTCGAGAAGAAGTTAGGTAATCGAAATTTCGAGCGCGATTGTTGTCTCTGTTTGCGCTTGAACGAGAGGCTATGTACAGTTGTTAGCGCACGACTCCTCGAAACGGGTGCTAGGCTGGCCAGAAACTCACGGCTCACGTAGCCCGCCGCTTAAAGGTACATCGGGATGCTGTGGATCAAGGCTGCTGCTGTCCTGTGCTGGTTCATCGTCGCTATAAGGCTGGATCAGCGATGACTGGGCTTCTGACTGTGGCCCCGGTCGACTCATTGACATCGCGAATAATACGTATCATAGGGACGTGTCAAGTGGCATCTCAAACAACGATGGTCGACGGGTGCCTATGAATAGCGATTGATCTCCGCGATTGATTGCGTTCCCGACCGGCAACTGGTGCCACAATTAGTTGAACCTCCGCGGCCGGACCAGGGCGGTGAAGGCCCGCGCTGTGGGGCGGTGCCGCTCATTGCGGCGGCAGAAAACGGTTCTCCAAAAGAAAAAAAAAGTGCAAGCAATTGGCGTGCCTCTTCTTCTTTCCCCTCTCATCATCCAGAGTTCCTTTGGCGGCAGGGCTCAGCATGAATGCTAGACCCTCCTACGAGGGGACTCTTAACGAGTCCCAGCTGTTTCAACAGCTCCCGAATGAGATTGCGGAACTCATTCGCACCGCATCGGGGACTCAGTACCTGAATGCGCTTGCGGTGGGCGCGTTGAGGCAAAGATGCACGGAAAGCTTCTTTTGCCTGTACGAACCGATTTTCGTGGACCTGGCAGCCCGTTGGCTTCTGTCGGAGTCCCAAATCGATCAAACCGATGTTCTATCCGCATTTTCGCGCATACTTCCGCTCGCGCCATATCTGCGTTCCTTTGCAAGCCAATATGCCATGTCTCGGGCTGGACCTCTGTCGGCTTTGGCTACGTCCGATGAGCTAACGCTTTCTCAAATGAATGATGCCACCCTCCGAGCCCTATTGATAGCGATTTTCCGACTTCTTTCCTACGACACAGAAACCTTCTCGAAAGCCGTATCGCCTTCACAACTCCAGAACCTGTTCCGCCACGGAGACCCGTCCGTGAGTTATCTGGCGATTCGATGCTTTGCTATGTACATGAGGGCAGCCGATGCTGCGACGGAGGATATAATCAGGGCAAAGTTTGCAGACAACATTATTGAGGGGGAATGGGAAGGTATCACCATCGACTACCGCTGCCTCGGGTTGTGGGAGGAACGCCGGTGGAATGTCCTGGAGAAGCAAGTCCAACTTGCAAGATCTTCCAGGTCTGCTTCGGAGAGCCTGTCACAAATCGAGGCATTGAGAGACTACTTCACCGCTCGAACCGCTGAGGTCTGTGGTGTGCTCATACCCCGCCAGCAGGGCACATCACCTCCGCCGTCCTCAATTGTGAGAACGCCTACAGCTGTGGGTAACTTGCGGAAGATCGCGGCAGCCTTAATCGCTCCTGAGCCTTTACTCTTGACCGGCTTGCCCAACTCCGGAAAGACCACATTGATTAACGATGTTGCAGCGACAATGGGTCAGTCTGAATCGATGGTTACACTACACTTGAACGAGCAGACTGATGCGAAGAGTCTTCTCGGAATGTACTCTACATCTCCTGCCACAGGATCGTTCTCGTGGCAGCCTGGTGTCCTCACCAAGGCTGCAAGAGAGGGCCGCTGGATCTTGATCGAGGATCTGGACCGTGCCCCTTCTGAAGTCATCGGGCTTATCCTGCCAATCATCGAAAGGGGAGAGTTGACCATCGCTAGTAGAAGGGAAAGGATCAAGTGCGCCGAAGGTTTCAAGATCATTGCGACCATGAAATCGTCTTACAACATTGCCGGCGAAGAAATCGCCCCAAGCACCAACATCCTGGGCAGCAGGCTATGGCAGATAGTACAAATCGATTCTCTAACCATAGACGAAGTTCGTGAGGTAATCACGCAAAAGTTCCCTCTGCTTGAGTCCCGGGTTCGGACAATCATGGATGTCTACCAAAGGCTTTGTGCTTCCTTCCATGGCAGTCTTGCAATCAAAAGCTCCCAAGGACGCACGCCAGGACTCCGTGATCTTGTCAAGCTTTGCAGCCGGATGCACAGGCGGCTGCAACGCCTTGGTGCTAAGACTGGCTACGAAGCGACGCCGGAGGGTGCCGAGGACGAGATTTTCCTGGATTTTGTCGATGTCTTCTTGAAATATATTCCCGAGAAGAATACAGCAGACACCCTTGCGTTGGTTGTTTCCGAGGCTCTTCAGATTTCACCGCAACGGGCACGTTTTTGTCTGCACGAACGCACGCCGACGTATTCAGACCAGGGAAACAGCATAACCCTTGGAAGGGAAGTTTGTCGCAAGATCAAGGTCCCGGGAGGTTCGGCATCAAAGGCTGCTGCTGCTTCGTCTCGTTTTGCCTCCACAAGGGCTGCTTTAGGTCTAATGGAACAGGTCGCGGCTGCTATCCAGATGGCAGAACCTGTCCTCCTTGTTGGAGAAACTGGTATTGGTAAAACGACTGTGATTCAGCAGCTGGCTACCTTGATGCGTCAGAAGCTGACGGTTGTGAACTTGTCACAACAGAGTGAAAGCTCTGATCTCCTGGGAGGTTTCAAGCCTGTGAATATCCGGACTATGGCTGTGCCCATGCATGACGAGTTCGTGTCCTTGTTTGAACTGACGTTTTCTGCCAAGAAGAACCAAAAGTTCCTCCAGTCTGTTGGTAAAAGTGTTGCTTCAGGAAACTGGGTACGCCTAGTCAACTTATGGCATGAAGCCGTTCGCTTGGCTGACGGCGTCTTCAAATCGAGCGGCGGTAGCCCTGGTGCCGAGGAGCAACCGACGAAGAAGAGAAAACTGGATTCACCAAAGTATCAGTTCTTGCGGCAGAGATGGGAAAGGTTCTCGGCACAGTTGAATGATTTCGAGTCTCAAGTGTCACAGGGAGATGCCAAGTTTGCATTTGCTTTTGTTCAAGGTAAAATTGTTCGGGCCCTGCGGAACGGGGAGTGGGTTCTTCTTGATGAAGTTAACCTGGCGTCGCCTGACACGCTCGAAAATATTGCCAGTCTTCTGCACCATGGGAGTGAAGGCTCTCCATCCGTACTACTTTCTGAGGCTGGTGATGTGGAACGAGTCTTTGGACATCCCGAATTCCGCATCTTCGGCGCGATGAACCCTGCAACAGACGCAGGGAAGAAGGACCTGCCCCCTGGTCTCCGGTCTCGGTTCACTGAATTTTATGTCCAGTCGCCGGACAGTGATTTGGATGATCTCCTGGCTTTAATCCACAAATACCTTGGTGACTTGGCTATGACGGATTCCAGAGCCGTCCCCGATCTAGCTCAACTTTACATGGAGACTAAGAAGCTCAGCACCGAGAACAAACTCACTGATGGTGCTGGACAGCGCCCCCATTTCAGCATTAGAACGCTCGTCCGAGCTTTAATCTATGTTGCTGATCATGCTCACGTCTATGGGCTGCGTCGAGCAATGTATGAAGGCTATTCTATGAGCTTCCTGACTGTGCTCAGCCAAGATTCGGAGAGGTTGCTAGCACCACTTCTCGAGAGACATTTATTCAGCAATGTCAAAAATGCCAGAGGTCTTCTGAATCAGACGCCACGACCACCAACTGACGGCAATGACTATGTCCAATTCAAGCATTACTGGATGCGCCGTGGTCACCTAACCCCCGAAGAGCAGCCTCACTACATCATTACGCCTTTCATCGAAAAGAACTTGAAGAACTTGGTGAGAGCTAGCTCCACCCGGCGATTCCCTGTTTTGCTCCAAGGCCCGACCTCTGCAGGAAAGACGAGTATGATCGAATATCTTGCCAAGGTATCGGGAAACAAGTTTGTTCGTATCAACAACCATGAGCATACCGATCTCCAAGAATATCTAGGAACATATGTCTCCAGTGATGACGGGACACTTCGTTATCAAGAAGGTGTCCTTGTCGAGGCACTCAGAAACGGATACTGGATTGTTTTGGATGAACTGAACCTGGCCCCTTCTGACGTACTGGAAGCAATGAACCGGCTTCTTGATGACAACCGCGAACTTTTCATCCCCGAGACGCAGGAAGTAGTGCACCCTCATCCTAACTTCATGCTCTTTGCGACCCAAAACCCTGCCGGCCTCTACGGTGGTCGCAAGGTTTTGTCGCGTGCCTTCCGAAATCGATTCTTGGAGTTGCACTTCGATGACATACCGGAGAGCGAGTTAGAATACATTCTGAAAGAGCGGTCTCAGATTGCCCCCTCTTTTTGCACTAGAATCGTCTCTGTGTACCGGAAGCTGTCCTTGTTACGCCAGGCAAACAGGCTATTTGAACAAAAGAATAGTTTTGCTACCCTGCGTGATCTTTTCCGGTGGGCGCTGCGCCGAGCAGATGATCGGGAGCAATTGGCGATTAATGGTTTCATGCTCCTCGCGGAGCGGGTCCGAAATCCGCAAGAAAGAGCTGCTGTGAAGGGCGTGATTGAAGAAGTGATGAGGGTCAAGATCGACGAGGATGTTATTTACAGTTCCTCTGAGATGGAAAAGCGTGCCCCCCATCTTGCTCTGCTGGCCCCTGGCGTTGTGTGGACGAAGGCAATGAGGAGGCTTTTCGTACTCGTTGCCACTGCGATCGAGAACAATGAGCCCACTCTGCTTGTTGGCGAAACTGGATGCGGAAAGACCCAGCTTTGCCAGGCAGTTGCAGAGATTTACAAGAAAGAATTATTGATTGTCAATGCCCACGTTAATCTCGAGACGGGAGACCTGATAGGAGCTCAACGACCCGTAAGAAACAGGGCAGCAATTGAGAGCCAATTGCTCAGTGACTTGCAAAGCCTTTTCCCGGAGAGCGCACATTCAGGATCTCTCGAGGAACTGAAGCAAGCCTTTGGTGCTTTGAACGCGGACCAACTGCAATCTTCTGATGCCGAATTGGTCTCGCGCATTGAGAGAAATGTGGCTCGCTCGAATGCTCTATTCGAGTGGTCCGATGGAAGTCTGATAACTGCAATGAAGACGGGCCAATTTTTCCTGCTAGATGAAATCTCTCTGGCAGACGATTCTGTCTTGGAAAGATTGAACAGTGTTCTCGAGCCTCATCGTTCGATATTGCTTGCAGAAAAGGGCCCGATAGATTCTATGGTTGTTGCCGACGAAGGATTCCAGTTTCTATCTACAATGAATCCTGGTGGTGACTATGGAAAGCGCGAACTTTCGGCAGCTCTTCGGAATCGAATGACCGAGATCTGGGCGCCCCAACTGTCCGAAGACGAGGACATCCTACCGATTCTACAGAGGAAGCTGGACTTGGGCACAGAGCAATTACCCAAGGGGATGCTACAGTTCGCAAAATGGTTCAAGGGAGTGTTCCAAAACTCTTCCACTTCATCCCTCTCTCTGCGTGACCTTCTTGCTTGGGTTGACTTTGTCAATAAGTGCCAAAGCTCGGACACTCTCTTTTCCATCGTCCAAGGTGCAGCTATGGTTTTCATAGACACTTTGGGTGCGAACCCTGCAGCTATGCTTGCGACAGCGTTGCATAATCTCGATGGCAACCGTCAATTATGTCTTGACAAACTACGTGAGATTTTTGATGTCGATGCATCGGCGATTTATCGACAGCGATCAAGCGTCGATATTGAAGGCTCATCTCTGCGTGTTGGGCCATTCTGCCTGCCAATGAACAGCGACTCAATGCCCGATCCCGAATTCATCATGGACGCACCCACTACGATCGCTAACTCTGTGCGCATCGCTAGAGGCTTACAGCTGCCCAAGCCTATTCTGCTTGAGGGTAGTCCAGGTGTTGGAAAAACAACGCTCGTCACAGCGCTTGCGAGAGCCCTTGGAAAACCGCTTACGCGTATCAACCTTTCAGAGCAGACGGATCTTACTGATCTTTTCGGCTCAGACGTCCCTGTCGAAGGAGGTGACGTCGGACAATTTGCCTGGCGAGACGCGCCATTTTTACAGGCAATGCAACGCGGTGACTGGGTCCTGTTGGATGAGATGAACTTGGCTTCGCAGTCGGTCCTTGAGGGTCTTAATGCTTGCTTGGATCACCGTCAAATGGTATATGTCGCCGAGCTTGACCAAACTTTTAAGAGACATCCCAACTTTGTTCTCTTCGCCGCGCAAAACCCTCATCATCAAGGTGGCGGTAGAAAGGGTCTTCCTGCTTCTTTTGTCAACCGATTTACCGTGGTCTATGCCGACAGCTTCACAGATACTGATTTGAAGAGGATTTGCGCCAAGCTTTTCCCGGGCAGTCCTGCTCATCAGACCGAAGGACTAGTTGAGTTCGTGTCTCTCCTCAACAAAGCTATCCAGGAGCGACGGTTAGGCGCTATCGGCGGCCCTTGGGAGGTTAACCTGCGAGACATTCAAAGATGGCTCCAGTTGGCAGACCGTGGCAGCTTGCAGATACCTACCCAGAGCTTCCTGGAAGTTATCATCTCTCAGCGGTTTAGGAGCGAGGAAGATCGGCAGTTGGTCTCCAAGTTGTACAAGACGGTTTTCAGTGACGCTTCAACGCATGCGAAGAGCTACTACCACAATCTGACAACGGAGTACGTACAAGTCGGACTCGGGATCATGCAACGAGACTTGCTGTTGCAGGAGACAGCCAGCCCCCAAATGAGGATACTTCCAGGAGACCTCCCCGTCCTAGAGTCACTCATGTTGTGCATAGAGCAGTCTTGGCCTAGTATTCTGGTGGGCTCATCTGGCTGTGGCAAGACGACCCTCATTAGAAAGCTTGCTGCCCTGAATGGTGCTAGTTTAGTCGAGCTAGCATTGAGCGCGGATACTGATACGATGGACTTGGTTGGTGGATTTGAGCAGATCGACTACAAGAGAGAAATATCATCCCTTGTGCAACAAATCGCGGTCTTCCTCCGACGCCATGTTATCACTGCCTATGCAGGCAGTGATCTGGCGGCTGCAGCTCCCGCTTTCCTGGCACTTTACGAGCAACTACAAAGTCCAGATGTCCAGTTAGATGCTGTATGCTCGTCACTGCAGACTCTCTGCCAATCATGGCCCCATGATGCACTGGAGAAGCTTTTCAACCATGCTCAGCATTTGCTGACAGTCACTAAGCAGTCTGATAGCATGAAGGTGGGATTTGAGTGGACCGAGGGAGTATTAACACAAGCCGTTCAACATGGACAGTGGGTTGTTCTCGACAACGCCAATCTCTGCAACCCATCGGTTCTGGATAGGCTGAACTCTCTTACGGAGCCAAACGGAGCTCTCATCCTGAACGAGCAACGCACTGAGGATGGAAATGCCCGCATCATCAGGCCTCACCCTAATTTCAGACTGTTCCTGACGATGGACCCTCGCCATGGTGAGCTGTCTCGAGCCATGCGGAACCGATGTGTTGAGATATGCTTCTTGTCTCAGGATAACAATGATATTATCGCCACGTCGATGCCTGCATACACCCACCAATCTTCTCTGTACCGCCTTCGGTCGGTCTGGGAAATGGATTTGTCCTTGCCTAGCGAGGGCAATACCGACAACCTCCATGAAGTGTGCCTCGACCATCTTTCATTCTCAGACCTGTCATATCTTCAGCGGGCACTCAAGCTCACGCCGCAATACGGCTCAGATATCGCGAGAGAGCCCTTCTCTTTGGCCTTAGATCGCTATGTTTCTGCCATACATGATAACTCGTCAAGCAAACCTTTCGAGAGCACCAAGAAGGAAGTCATGCTTGGCCGAGCTTCTTTTGCTATTCAAGGAAGGCTGCAGCCTCTTCACCCTCTGGTAAACGAACCGTTGGCTTCCATCCTGCACCAAGATGTGCCTTTGGTGTGGCTCATGATTTTAGCCTACCTGCAAGAATACAAGCTTGACCTACATCGCCTTAGACAAGACTTGCTGCAAGCCGACGAATCAGGAAAACAGCTCAAGCCAAGTCAAATGAGTCGCCTCCAGCGGTCATTGGCTTCTGGAAGGATACCCTCTCTGATGAAAGATACAACGCAGCCGGTTGGCCCGTTCCTATCTGACTGCGGCCAAGCCATGTACGATTTCATTCAGAACCTCGACCATGACGTTCTTCAGGCCCCCGAAATGGTGCGAGCTCTCCGAGCTATCATCGACTTCATCAAAGATGTACTCGCAATGACAGCTGCCCATGACCTGGACCAGGGTGAATTCCAAATTTATCTACAGATTGGCAAGGAATTGTGCGCTTCGCTAGTAGACACGTGGGCGCCATTGAAGAAGCTTGCTTTCGCGTTCTCCCAAGCCCTTGATCGGTTCCAAGAGAATTGGGCGTTGACCACAGGCCTAAGCATGCAACGGCTTTGGGAGTCATGGAGACCAGTAACCCCTTCGACGCAAAGCCAACTGACGTCGCTGCTCGAATTAGAGAGCGTTGCCTCTGAATTTACCCAGGTTGCGACGAAAACTCACCTGGACTTAGCTCAATTGAGCCAGGTGCGCAACTCTCTCATTGCCGGCCAGGAAGCTATTCTCCGGAACGGTTCTGATGAAGGATATCCCACACAAGTATGTTCTTCCGCATTTTGCTGTTTCATTTGCACTTGAAACTAATGGATTCTAGGTCCTCCGGCAAACGGTCGCCGAATTGGCAGCTTGCGTTCAAGACGCCGATCCAACACTGCGCCCCTATTTCTCGACTAGCTTTGAGACGTTGTGCCAGTACAACGATATCGCTTCTCTATGCAAGGGTCAAGCTGGTGATGACCAGGTTGTGCGAGCTATCCTGCCTTTACTTGCCAGCCGTGCTGCACGGCCCTTGGATGGGTCGAGTTTCCAGAGTCCCATACCTAACCTCCTTCACAAGATTTCGTTGTTCTCAGGATCCGAAAATCCCTCTGTGTTCGGATCGGCCATTAGCGGCACAATCTCACTATCGCTGCTGGAGAGATTGGCTTTCGTTGGCTCTACGAGCTTGGGCCAGATGAATGCATTGGAGGTAGAGAAGAAGACTCTTTCTCAGGCGTTGACTCTGACAACCCGAGAGATTGGTTTGGACCAGTTCAAGGTTCTACGGCAGGTCCTGGCAAGGCTCACACTGGAGCTTGTCTTCGTGCACAGAGAGTTCCTTGAGCCTCAGTCTCTGGAGGCGTTGACTAGCATTCTTCGCGCAGTCGAAGAGACTGGTCGATATGCTGGCCCGGCAGTGCAAGAACTTCGGGCGGCAGCGAACCTGCCTAAAGAACACTATTTCAGGCGATTCGTACAAGAGGACCTTCCCAGGCTGGTTGCCTCGCTAGCAGCCGATGCACAAGCTGGCGAAGCTCCGGTACAAAGCGCTGGAGCCGCAATCGTTCAACTGGCTGTCATCTTCCTGCGCCTCTTTGTCCCAGATAAGCCTTTTGATCCTTCATTGGGCTTGGTTGTGCAGAGGAAGCGACACACGCAACGCTCGTCGGAGCTTACGGCAAAGGCTGAAGCTATCACTTCCTTCGAGGTTGGATTCTCTGGCCAGACTTCGAACATACGGGTTGAACTTTTGCAAAAGGAACTGCACGATCTTGGTTCGGCACCGCCTCCATCTTCTGTCAGCAGACCTCCGATCTCCGAGATTAATCTGCTCCATGGGGAGTTTTCAAGCCTGGTAAAGTCGGTGCTTGAAAGGCACCCCGAGCAAATCGTTTCGGCCAGTGAAAACCAGGGCGAAAAGCAGAGGATGCTTGGTTTGCTACGTGATAATGTTCGCCAGCTCAGCCACCGCCTCAGTACAAACTACCGCTCCTACGATGACATTACGACACCTGTTGTCCGGTTCCTTCAGATTCTGGACATGGGTCTCTACCTTTCTTCGACTCCATCTGGCGAAACAAGTGACCTTCAGATACTGAATGCTGTTAAGGAGACTACGCCATTCCTCGGAGGAATGATCCATCCTAATTCAGAGCTTAGGTCGGCAGCCAGCTCGACCGTCAACACGGATCTGTGGTTCCATGAACTTTCCTCGTTGAGATTGGCTGAGAATGCGGACCCGGGAGTTATCCGGACCCAGGCTGGGCGTGATACTCTACGCCGCCTTTTCGAGCAGTTCCACGCTCTATGGAAAACCAAGCTGCGCGAAGATCAAGAAGATGAGGCAAGGAAGTCCGAGTTCTACCACTACAAGGGCTCTTGGGAAGATAGCGAGGAGGTCGATGAAAATGAACTACGTCAGCTGTTCCCCACCTATGATCAAGATGCAGAGGAGGAAGAAGGCCAAGGTCCGGCTCGCTACGATCCGAAGGCTATCTCGATCAGGATTGCATCATTGCATGCCAAACTGTTCCAATCGGAAGATCGTGAGGAAGCTTTGTCAACTTACGTCAAGCAAGCTTCCCTGTTACTGGGATCTAAGTGGTCAGAGGATACTCTCAGCGTACCGAATGTGGATCCTAAGGATCAGCTCTCAGGTGTCCTCTTGCTTCTGGAAGACTCTATCAACACAGGTCAGAATCAGCCGGCAGCCAAATATAACTTCTATGTGGATGCGAACATATCCGAAGCAAAGAAGCTGGTGACCTTGACTTTGTCAACGAAGGCTCGGTTCACTCAGATTCAGAAGGCCTGGCCCGACCATGCTGTGTTGGAGGACGTCATCCAGTGTTGCAGAGAGATTCTCCAATTTAAGCACACTGAGCCTGTCGCCAAGTTCATTACCAAGGTCGAAAAGCTTCATGCACTTGTTCATGAATGGCAGCTCGTAGCGAGCAGAGAATATTCGGCTGCGTCTGTGTATGAGGAGATCACCGCATTGATCATCGGCTGGCGACGACTTGAGCTATCCACGTGGGCGAAGCTTCTGGACATCGAGAACGAAAAATGCACCCAGGATGTAGGCTCATGGTGGTTCATCGCCTATGAGGCTATCATTCGGGCCCCCATGCAAATTGCAGAGTCCGGCCAGATGGAGATGAGTGAACACGTGCAAGAGATTACTGCTACGTTGGAGCAGTTCTTTAACTCGACGACCCTGGGACAGTACAGTGAGCGCCTACAACTTGTCAAGAATTTCCAGTCTCTGCTCTTGCTCTATGTCCAGGATATGCCGGCTTTGAAACAGCTTATCTCTGCTTTGGATAACTTCATTGTGCGCTACAGGCAATTCGAACCTATTGTGCACAAGCAGCTGGTGGAGAAGCGGGCAGCCCTCGAGAAGGATATCAAGGAGCAGATTCAGTTGGCTAGCTGGAAAGATACCAATATTGTCGCACTCAAAGAAAGCGCACGCCGCTCACATACCAAGTTGTTCAAGCTGGTCCGCAAATACCGTGAAGCCCTGGGGCAATCGGCGCAACCCATCGTGGAACAGGACATGCCGGATAATAACGATGACAGCGGAGTTACCCAAAATGATGTTGTCATAGCCTCACGCGTGTTCCCTGAAGCACTCGCAATGTGCCAGAAGGAAGGAGTCTGGACCGATAGACCCCCGCGATTCAAGAACCCCGATGCGACTGCTAGCAGCATGATGCAACTTTATACCTCGATTCCCGCCGAGTTTGACGTCGCAGAAGATCTCGACGGCTTTGTCAAGGATGTCATCGAGAGTATCCAGGAGTTCAAGTCGCGGACGCCGAAGACTCTCACTGAGGAGAATACAGAGGATGTCCAGCATCTCAAAGTCCAGAAGCGCCGTTTCTACGCGGATACCTTGCGGCGACTCATGGATATGGGAGTGAAGCGTAGCGCGAGTACCAGTTTGATCGAAACCCAAGCATCTATTGCACAGATCCTTGCCTCCAGTCCAGCCTTGGAAGCCGACTCTGTGCTATCGCAGCTGGCTAAGAGTTCCGACTTGTACTACCATAGGTTCTTGGACTTGCTTCCTCGCGTTCGTGTGGCGGCACACAACTATGCGGAAGATCTCAGTAATGTTGAAGTTTCCAGGAGTTCGGGGTCTATCGAACACTTGTTGTTCCTCGCCCGGAAGCAGAGAGCGTCGATCTCACCAGCGCTTACCGATCTGACAGCGTTACAGTCGACACTTCTGAAGGTTTCGAACCTCTGGAATTCAGGCTGCTCTTCCATTTCCAAGGATCACCCACAGTTCCCGATTGAGAGAGTCGAGGTAACGAGGGCAGTGGCATGGCTGACGCCTGTACTTGGACTTGCCGCCACTGTTATTGGTCTGCACGCCAAGTTCTCTGGCATCGGTTCGAGAAGCATCTTAGATGGCCTGCAGACTTGGAAGGGCACATTCGATCGGTTGAAGACTTCTCTGGGTAATCTTCCTCAGCTACCACACGGTGTCTCCTCGCAGTTGTACAGGGACACTGTCCAGGAGGCTTCTGCATCCCTTGAACAATTGAGCAGCAACCTCACAAGATGGGCTGAAGAACGTCCTGACCTGACCTTTGTGCTTGGCCAAATAGTCCCTTGGGTGAAGGTCAACGTGATGTCTCCAGACTGTGAACTTGATGAGACCACCGTATCCCTTGAGAAATTCGATGCGGGTCTCGTTGCAGCTGTTGACAGAATCCTTGTCAGCCTCCAGAAATTGAAGGAGATTCCTTCCTCGCTTGCCAATCCTGGTTCTCTGGCGCGGAGTGACGAGTTCTTCGTCAAATCCTTGAAGGCCCTTCATATCTCTGGCATCAAATCCTCGCTTGAATCTGTTCTTGATCAATTGCAGCACATCCAGGCTGGCTCAGGTTCTGGCATTCCATTTGCGGTCGCACTTGTGACGAGCTTGCTGCCTATCATGCACAAGTACTTCCATATCAGCAAAGATGTTGTGGATCGCTACTTGGTTGTACACCGAGAGACCTGCAAAATGTCCTACATTCTCACCAAGTGCTTCGCTCAAATCGCTTCCGAAGGCTTCTGTAGTCCCGCAGAAGCATCTACGGAGGAGAGCAAATCCGGCAAGCTCGAGAGCGGCACTGGTCTGGGAGAGGGTGAGGGTGCTGAAGACATCAGCAAAGATGTTGGAGATGACGAGGATCTGTCGGAGCTTGCTCAGGAGCAAAAGGGCGAGTCTACCGAGGACCTCGAAAACTCAGAAGACGCAGTGAACATGGACAACGAGGAAATGCAGGGCGAAGAAGGCGAGCGGAAAGAAGGCGACGAGGAAGACAATGAAAGCGGCGACGAAGAGGAAGATGGCGACATTGACGAGGAAGTCGGCAGTGTTGATGATCTCGATGCTACGGCAGTTGATGAAAAGATGTGGGACGGTGAGCACGACGACAAGCAGAAGGAGACTGAGACCAATGAAGGCAAGGGTCAGGCCGAGTCTGACGAACAGACGGCGGCCGAGGAGAAAAAACAGGAGAAGGAGAAGGAGAAGGCCCAGGAAGGCGAGCAGGGTGAGGTGGACGAGAACGAGGAGGAAGAAGAAGATGAGGAAGGTGAAGATAAGCCTGATGACGAAGGCGAAGCCGTTGGACGTGAGGATATGGATGTGACCGATCCTCAGGCAAAGGAAGAAGAGGCCCTGGACCTTCCGGACGAGATGCAACTTGACGGCGAAGAAAAGGGTGAAGAAGAAAATGAGAGTGACGATGGCCTTGACGGCATGAATGACGATCTTCCCCCTCTTGAGGAGAACAATGAGCAGCAAATGGACGGAAAGGATGTTGGCGAGGATGAGGCCATGGACGAAGGAGAAGGCGCCGAGGAACAGGAGCCCGAGCAGACGGAGGAGGGCATGCCGGACGAGGAGGCCGCCGAGACCAATGAAGGCGAGGGCAATGACGAGGCGGAGGAAGCCGGCGAGGAGGCTGAAGAGGAAAAAGAGGACTTCCTGGCCCAGCGCGACGAGAACGAGATGGCCGGAGAGGAAGTGGCTCCCAGTGAAGCAGTCAATGGTGGCCTTGGGGCTGATCAAGACCAGAACCAAGAGAAGGGCGCGTCTGGTAACGCACAGCAGGAGAACGGCTCAACTGATCCTTCCGACCAGAAGGAGCAGCAGACCGGTGCAGCCCAAGAGGGTGACGAGAACCAAAGGCACCAAGAAGAGGGTGGTGCGAATGATGCAAACCCAGACGACCCTCAATTGCAGGCTTTCAAGAAGCTGGGTGACGTTCTCGAACAATGGCACCGCCGCCAGAAGGAGATCATGGAGTCCTCCAAACAAGAAGAGGGCGAGACTGAGGATCCCATGCCCCAGGACGCAGACATGGCCGACGCTGACTTCGAACATCTCCGCGACCAAGACGACGTGGCAGACACCCAAGCTCTGGGTCAAGCCAGTGAAGAACAGGCGAAGGCTCTGGACCAGAACAAGGGAGTCGAGTCGGACGTCAAACCCGAAGGCAACGACGTGCTGCCGGATGTCACAGACGACGACCAACAGCAGCTCCCAGACAACAAGCTCGAAGATGAGATGCAGCTGGATCAGGGTCTTCCCTCCGAGTCACAGATGGCCGGTGCCATGATTCCTGGCAACACCCAGACCCAGGAACGGACCACCGACACTACCGGTCAACAAGAACTAAACGAGGAGCTCGATGAAGTCGACGCCCATCTCGCCGCCATCCACCTCTCTTCCAACCTTCCTCCCCTGACCCCCCGCGACGAGGCCCAACGTCTCTGGTCCTACTACGAGTCAGCCACCACCGACCTCTCCCTCTCGCTGACCGAACAACTCCGCCTCATCCTCGCCCCTACCCTGGCCACCAAACTACGCGGCGACTTCCGCACCGGAAAGCGTCTCAACATCAAGCGCATCATCCCCTACATCGCCTCCCAATACAAGCGCGACAAGATCTGGATGCGCCGCTCCATCCCCTCGAAGCGTAACTACCAGATCATGCTCGCCGTCGACGACAGCAAGTCCATGCTCGAAAGCGGTAGCGGCCAACTCGCCTTCGAAACCCTCGCCCTAGTAGCCAAGAGTCTCAGCATGCTCGAAGCCGGCGATCTCTGCGTCCTCGGCTTCGGCAACGAAGACCACGTCCGCGTCGCCCACGAGTTCGGCAAGCCCTTCTCCTCCGAGGCCGGCACTCAAGTCTTCCAGCACTTCAGCTACCAGCAAACCGGCACAAACGTGCGCAAGCTCATCGCCGACTCCATCGCCCTCTTCCGCGAGGCCCGCTGGAAGCAGTCCCCCGGTAGTGGAAACGCGGACCTCTGGCAGCTGGAGCTGATCATCTCCGATGGTATCTGTGAAGACCACGAGACTATTCAGCGTCTGGTGCGCCAGGCACAGGAGGAACGCATTATGATTGTGTTTATCATTGTGGATGCTGTGAAGGGTAGCTCGATTTTGGATCTGAGTCAGGCGAGCTTTGAGGATGATGGTAGTGGGGAGATGAAGTTGAGGATGAAGAGATATCTAGAGGGTTTCCCGTTCCCTTATTACCTTGTTGTTAGGGATGTCAGGGAGTTACCGGCTGTTTTGGCCACGGCGTTGAAGCAATGGTTTGCTGAGGTGGTAGATGTGTCGTCTTGATTCATTGATTCATTTTTGTTTGTTTAGATAAAAAGTTAGCATGTTTTGCTTTATTATGGTTTAGATGTATATACAGCCTTGGTGTATTTAGAAAGATTTCAATCATTTTAACCATTTCTTTGTCTTCCCGGTTATGATTGGTAGTTCCACCATCACATAGGATTATCTGACCATATCAACTACTATACTTACCCAAAGCACTACTACCATCAACAAACTCCACATTAAGCAATCGAACAGTACTCATAAACTCCACCCATGCAACCCCACCCCACCAACTACATACACTACACTATACACACCCCCCCATCCCCCAAACCTACTAAGACAATCACCACCCATACTTCGCCCCCGCCTCCCTCTTATTCCTCCTCCCAGCAGCAAAGCTCTCCTCCAGCGCCTCACGCTGCGTACTCGCCGCATTAACCAACTGCTGCAACGTATGCTTACCCGGCGCAATCGCCCGGACAGGGTTATGTTGTTGCGCCGCCAGCTCCGTATGCGCCAGCTCCTGGTTCGTAACGTACTCTTGGTCGGTGTTGAAGTGCAAAACGCGGGAACTAGCTGCGACGGATTCAGGTGCGTTGCGGCCGAAGAGTTGGCGTCGTTGGGCTTTCGACAGGTTGAGGTCGTCGGCGATGGTGCTGAGTGTGTTGTCGGATGTGGTGGGTTGGTGGTATGTGGGTTGCTGTGCTGTGGTGGTGGTGTCTTCAGGGGCGGGGGAGGGGCCAGCGGGAGCGGAGTTGAGGGGGGTGTAGACTAGGGGTTCGTAGGTTGTTGCTGTGGTGGTGGTGGTGGTGGTGGGTGTAGAGTTGTTGTCATCGTCGGCGGAGAGGGAGAAGAGGCTGATTTTGGGCTTTGGTGCTGGTGCAGCCGGTGCAGCTGCCGCCGCAGGCGTAGATGTAGATGCAGATGCAGACGAAGCTGCCGCCAGCCCATCCTCCTTCCTCCGTACATTCGCAGCAGCAGGCATGAGATCCGAAACAGCCTTCCTCTTCTTCTGCTGTGATGCCCTCCCCACAGACAAGGGCTTGAACATCATCGGGTTTCCCTTCAACTTGACTTCCTCTGGCTTCTTCATCTGCGGTACAGTCTCCTCCCCTCCCCTGTTCTTGTCTTCATTACCGAAATCCAATTCCTGATCCCTCATGCTCCCCGCCTTGGGTATCGTCTCATCATCATCATTATTATGACCACCACCTAGGTTTCCAAACGCCCGCTCATTCCGCATCTCCGCGTCCGCCTCGCGATCGAACCCCGGCGCTGCGCCCGTCTTTAGACTGAATATCTTGCGCGCGGGCGCCTTTTTCTCCGTTGTGCTGTTGCTGGCGGTAGTAGTTGTGGTTTTCTTCGGCGCAGGTAGGAATGAATTGAAGCCGGAGAATGCACCACCGCTGCCGCTGCCGCCTAATTTGAGTTTCTTGCGCGGGTTATCGGTGTCATCGTTGTGTTCGGGCTTGATGTCTGGTAATGCGACGCGGATTTTGCGGGGGTTGGTGCGGTCGACAAGTTTGTTGTTATTGCTACTGTTGCTGGTGGTTGTGGTTGCGGTAGTGGTGGTGGTGGTGGTGGTGGGTTTCTTCGGGGCTTGTTGGGGTTGAGGGACGGTGGCTTCGGGCTCTGAGTCCGAGGCTTCGGAGTCGGAGTAGGCGACGAGGGCCATGCTTGGTAGGTAGGTTTTGGGTGTGGTGGTGATGTGTGGTTGAAGGTTGGGAGAGAGAAAGTTGGATGGATGGGTTGGAGCTGCGGCGAAGTGATATTCTCGGGTTGGGCGAGATTGCGGATAAGTTATGTATGGGATTAGTAAGCTGTGCAAAGTTCAGTGCAGTGGGTTGATGCCACGATCGATGGGGTTTGGGGATTAGTATGAGATACAGAAGAAACTAGGGGGGTGTTAGTCTCTTTAGTGACTATTCAATAAATGATAGCAGTACTATGAATAGGAAAGAAAGGTCAAGAGCAATGACATCATCAACGATATAGAGATATTCAAGATCAGATAAGATAAGATCGGCTTACTCAGGTCCCTCGGAATGTCGCTCCTTCCAATCAATCACTTTCTCTCCACCATCTACATCTTCATTCACCATATACTCTTTCTTTTGCAGACAACTTCAAACAACCTCTACACCCATCGCCATGCTCTAACAAACACTACATCAACCTCACAACAACCTGATTTTCCAACCTACATCACCCATACCACAAAAATGACCACCTCACCACCAGCACAACCCCCCGACACAACCACAACCACAACCACAACCTCACCTACACCCGACACCACCAACGAACCCACGAACGCACACCCCCGCCCCACAAAATTCCGCTTCAAAGACCCCTCCCGAAAGCGCCATCGCCACCACCACTCCACCTCCCACAAAGACCACCAGCGCACCCCCTCCCCCAAACGCAAAAAACACCGCGCCCCCCACCGCCGCAAACACACTACCACCTCACCACCCGCATCCCCATCACAGCCCACAACATCGCGCTTCTCCCCCAGCACCGCCTTCCGTGAATCCCTCTTCGACGCGCTAGGCGACGACGAAGGCGCCGCATACTGGGAGTCGGTCTACGGCCAACCGATCCACACGTACTCAGTACCGGAGGTACCGAAGGGCCCGAATGGCGAGCTGGAGATGATGGATGAGGAGGAGTACGCGGCGTATGTGCGACGGAAGATGTGGGAGCGGACGAGGGAAGGGATGCTTGCTGAGGAGGAGAGGATGAGGGAGGAGAGGAGGAGAGTGAGAGAGAAGGAGAGGAGGAGGGATAGGGAGAGGGGGGAGTGGGAGAGGGCTGTCGAGGAGAGTTTGAGGAGGGGGAGGGAGAGGAAGAGGAGGAGAGGGTGGAGGGGGGTTTGGGGGAGGTATTGTGCTTGTTGGGGGGAGTTGGATGGGGTGGTTAAAGGTGGAAGTGAAGGGGGAAGGTTTGAGGAGGTGGTGTTTTGGCCGGTTGAGAGTGGGGAGAGGAGGGATGTGGGGAGGAAGGAGGTGGAGGAGTTTATGAGGGAGTGTGCGAGGGTGATTGATGAGGATGGAGAGGATAAAGATGAGGGTGGTGGGGGGTTGCTGGGTCTGTTGAAGACGGAGAGGGTGCGGTGGCATCCGGATAAGATTCAGCATCGGTATGGGAAGTTGGGGATTGATGAGCGGGTGTTGAAAAGTGTGACGGAGGTTTTTCAGATTGTGGATCAGATGTGGACTGAGGAGAGGAAGAAAGGAAATCAGTAGTATTGTTGGTGATGTTATTATACCCATTGAGTTCTTTTGGTGTATAGTGTTTTGGTTGGCGTTTGTTATGATACCCTACTATGTACTTTGTTTACTGGGTTGGTCGTCAACTTTTCACGTTGCAAAGAAGCAAGCAAGCTCATAGATAGATACAACTGATATAACGCGACACGGCTATGCAAGGATAAATGACACATTTACTGTTCTGTTTCAGGTTCTGTTTCTCTCTCAGGCTCCTCATTCTGCCACATCTAGAACCGCGAGTAGCGGTGCTTGGTGCGGTACGCAGTGTACCCAACATAGCCTCCAACAACCACAGCGAAGAACAGAATAGTCTTGAACAGGAACCATCCCCAGCTGCCCTTCTGCTTACGGCGCTTGACACGACCAGTGTCGCGGCCCTTGCCCGAGCGGGAACCGCTGCCACTGCTGCCGCTGCCGCCACCAACGCTGTACAAGTTCTGGGCCTTGACGGAGATGATGTCGTGGTTGTCGCTGAGCTCACCAGTCTCGGCGGAGAAGCCCAGGTAGGCGACGGACGGGATGGCGATGTTGTACTCGGGGGCGGTCAGCTCGAAGCAGGGGATCCAGCTGTCCTCGGACTTGTACTGCAGGTCCAAGGTCAAGGACTTGTCCTGGAAGTAAGTCAAGCGGGCCTTGGTAGGGATGGAGGCACCACGGAGACCACGAGCCTATATCATCGTTAGATCAAAATCCACACCATCACTGCACACTATACTTACAGAACAGCCAGCCAGTTCATTAGCCTTTCCATCGTGAGCCTGGTCGTAGGTAGTCTGGCCGTCGCCCATCATGGCCATGACGTAGGGGAACGAAGTGCCGGGACGGTTGTTCTTGTACGTATCGAAGAATATACCCAGACCCTCGAAGTTGTCCGTCGAACCGAAGACAGGACCCTGGGTGGCGCGCTGCTTGGTGAGCCACATGGCGAAACCATCGCCGTGCAAGTTGCCGGACCCTTCGATCTTGAATTCAACCTCGATCTACACATATCAGAACCATCCTAATCCCAGGGAAAGCGCATCAACTAACCTCCCAGTTGGTCGCGGTCAAAGGCACACGGGAGAAGATCCATCCCTGCTGCGACGGACGATCGGACGTAAGACGGATGTATCTAGGAAGTCGTTCAGCATAAGCTCTCCCCCACTCCTTTCTACCCACAAGCCAGGCGAACATACTTGTCGGCGCGAACTATCGTGTCACCACCAAAATCGAACCAGCGGCTTTGGAAGTCGGAATCCAAGTATGGCTGCGAAGACATTAACATGATGCGCGAGCTTAGCTGTAGCTATAAGCTACGTACCGGTGAAAGACTGTGCGTGCGAAGCTATCCCCAACAGTTAGCAGACCACCCCATAACCAGAAACAGTAGCATACACACCGGAATGCTCTTGACATTGTCATCACCATCGTAGGCGCTGGCCAAAGGCACGCTGGCCAAGCCAGCCCAGCACAAAAGGGACGAAAGCCGCGGAAGTAGCATGATTGCCGAGTAACAAGCGCACAGTAGACCCTTAAACAAGATTCAAGCCAAGCGACCGTGCAAGAAAGATAAATGTAGGTGTGGTGAAAGATAGACTGCAGCTAATAAGAGTAGGCGATATCGTCAATTGTCACCGGGACATCAACAAAACCAAGGGTGAGCGGGGGATTTCAATTGAGTAAATAGAAGAGAGCTAGATCCGGGAGAATGGAGGTGTGAAGGAGGATAAATGAAAGAACGAACACCGGGGGAACTTTATTCAACGAGAAAGAGGAAGAAGAAGAAGCGGAGAGGAGGGGACAGATCAGAGATCGACGCAAGAAAGAAAGCCGAGTATAATATAACTTAGCTGGGCGATGGGAAGGAAGTGTAGAACTCCAAGTGTCCACATCGCCGGGGCGGTGGCGCAGCAACCTTACTTTCCTTTTTCCTTGTGGCTCACTAGCCACACCTCCGTCGGAGCTCAAAAGATCTTGTCTCATCAACTGCTATATACTGCATTACTACGTATTGCATCCATCCATTTACCATTACATTATCCCACACAACCACGACCCTAACATCTCTATTACACACATTCACACATCACTAAATTTCACAATGGGTATCTTCGGCGGCTCTTCTTCCCCTTCCACCGACTCCTCCAGCAAGGAAGTCAAGGAGGCCCTCTTCAAGCAGGTCCAGGCCGAGTCCGCTATGAGCAACGCCCGCACTCTGATCTCCGTACGTTACATCCTTATCCAGGAGAATATAATTCAGTATTGTGCTAACGTACTTGTCTCCTCTAATAGAACGTCAACGAACACTGCTTCGAAGCCTGCGTTCCCAATCCCGGAACCTCCATGTCCGCCGGCGAACAGGCCTGCCTGACCGACTGCATGGAGAAGTACATTGCCTTCTGGAACACCGTTAGCCGCACATATACCCGTCGCGTGGGCACCGAGCAGAAGAGGATGCTTGCGCTGTGATTTGCTATCATATACGCTTCTTTGATATCCGTGCTTGGTTGGGAGTGGTCCATTTTCTCTACCATGTGTTTGGCCATGTTGTGATCCGATCTAGAGGTCTTTTTCATTGACTGGTGTGTTATGAGGCAGTGGCCACTGGTGTGATGATATTTGTGTGTATATTATACGGACGGACGGTTTTGGTTCGGGCTGCCGGTGGCGTTTTGAAAAGATAGAGCCTTGGATGGCAGGCTATGCTTATGATGACACTGTTGGGGGACCAGCGTCCAATTATCCAAGACTACTTTTATTGCAATGGCCAAATCAAATATGTACATTATACAACTGCCTCCACAGGGACAGGGAAAGGGATAAAAGGAAAGATGACATCAAGAATAACCCAGAGTAGCTCCCCAGTATTTGCACAATATGACTATAGAATAAGCAGGAGAAATGGAAGAAAGAAACGGGTGCCGTCGGTGACCAATTCACCAGTCAACGGTCGACATAATCACGAGGACCCCCCGAAGCTTCCAGCACAAACACCACCGCAAACACCCTCCTGCCTGGCATAACGCGAGGAAATATAGACAATGCCCACCTAGATAAAACCACCGGGGGATCATCCACTCATCAGATCTCCCCAGAACTAGTATAAGGGTAAGCTTATATGCAGACCACCAACGGTCCGGAAACCGGAAAAGCAAACAGACAAGACCATCACGTATACTTTGGAAGATGGTGAAGGCATACGCTGAGGATGACAGAGCTCTTAGATGTATGCTCTACGTCAAAGGCAGCCAAAAAGCAAGTCGGCCAGCGATCGAAGACGAAGACAAACCGACGTCAAGGGGAAAGCAACGAATGGTGAAGTGGATGCTACCATTGGTAGCGCGAGGGAAAGGATTAGCGAGATAGTCCTGTCTTACATCGCTCGCAGGATCATCGGATGGCACGATGCCATCTCGGTAACGAGACAATCATTCCATCATAACTCATAGCACACACTAAAAGTCTGGGAACAAATGGCCGTGTCTGAAGAAGAGAAAAGTGAGTAATGTGTTCATCATAGAATGGAACGGATTGAGAAAGGAGCACATACGGGTCTTCACCAGCCATGCCATACTGTTCGGTTTCTTCCGGATAGCGGTCGTACTGACTCGCATCTCCTTGGCCACCGCGGATGGGAGGCACGTAAGGAGCATCGATATCCTTGCGGGCCAAACGGTCCCAGGTGACCTCGGCAAACCAAGGATGGTTCTTGACATCATCGGAGCCGCCATGGAGGTTTCCCAGGCGCTTGGTCAGATCAGCCGTGATAAGTTGCGACAGCAGATCGACGGCGTCTGGGTGCAAGTAGGGCGGGTATTTTACCCTACCACGCAGGATATTCTCGTAGATCTTGACCGGGGAGCCACTGTCCCAGAAAGGCGTGAAACCACACAGCATCTCAAAGATCAAGATACCCAGGGACCACCTTGGACACGGTCAGTAATTGCGCCAAAGGGGCATGAACATCGATAATGGCAACCCTTACCAGTCAACCGACTTGTTGTAGCCCTTGGAGGAAACCACCTCCGGGGCGAGATAATCGGGTGTACCACAAAGGGTCCATGTGATGTCAGGCACCTCTTTGGCAAAACCGAAATCGGTGATCTTCAAATGGCCGTGTCGGTCTAGCAGCAAGTTCTCAGGCTTCAAATCCCGATAGATGATGTTCTGCGTGTGGAGGTACTCCAGGGCAAGAGTGACTTCCGCCGCGTAGAACTTGGCGACGGGGTTGGGGAACCGCTACATGAAAAGAGGTACCAGACATCAGCTTTACGTTGGTCGGGCGGGCCAAGTCAGAATTAACCCACCTGTGACTTGCGGAGCAGACTGAAGAGTTCACCACCCTCTACGAAGTCCATGACCATGTACAAGTTCCGGGAATCCTGCCATGTACCCCATAACGTGATTAGGAATGGATGCCTGACGCGGTTCAGCATGCGGCGCTCATCGTTGGTGTGCTCAATCTGTTTCATCTTGACCACTTGCGCCTTCTTCAACACCTTGACGGCATAGAAGCGGTGGTTATGTTTCGACTGCACCAAGTGCACGCGACCGAAGCTACCGGTACCGAGGGTGCGCTGAAGGGTGAAGTCATCCAGAGAGTATTTCCCTTTGGTGGTGCGGGCATCACTGCGAGCGGCGTGGTGAGACTGCGCATGACCGCTGGAAGCCGAATGCATGGCGCCTTGCTGGGAGGGATGAATTATATTCTGTATACTAGCCGCATTGGCATTGGGCTGCGGGAGGCCAGAGGTATGATGGGCAGACGGCGAGGCTTGCGTCACAGCGGATTGCATGGAGGCTACCTGACCGTCAGAGGATTTGTCTGCACCCGAAGACCGATTGGGCTGTTGTTGAGGAACGGAATCTTGAGGCTGAGCGGGGGGGTTCGTAGAAGAGCCAGAATTGGTGGCGGGTTGGGGTTGATGGTGGTGGTGGAAGAGGTGGTGGTGGTGGTGGTTGTGGTTGTGGTGGTCTTCGGCAGCGTTTGGTGACGTCTGCGTCTGGGCCGAACCGGCTTCAAGCTCTTTGGAGAGGGTCTGCGAATCTTTCGTTCGCCGTTTTTTCAGCAAACCTCCTAAACTAGGCATGGAGAAAACGCTGCTGTAGGCAGTTAAGATTAAATGTTAAAGCCCACGATGGTCTTTTCCACGTGGGAAAAAAATATAATGTAAGGGAGAATGAACGATGCGTGCGATAGCCGATCAACGCGACCCCTCTTTAAGAGATGCTCTCAGAGAGGGGGGGTAAGGGAAAGGAAGCAACACAGTAAGAGTAATAATAATATGGAGAGGGAAAGCGGCGAGCTTTTTCTCTTTGGGACGGGTTCGGGCGCGGATACAGCGGAGCCCCCCAAACAGAACTGAACTGTACTGAACTGAACAAAACACTGGTCCCGAACGGCGGTCAACGGAAACTCAATTGGACAGACGGGCAACCGTAAGGATGACCGGATAGGAAAGGAAAATGTGTAACGCGGGGGGAGTGTGGGAACCTCTTGGGAGGATGGATTGGACTGGGGTTGGGAGGGAGAGTAGTATGGCTGGTGTGCGGGAGGATCAATGATAATGATGCTGATGATGGCTGGATGTGAGGGGGATAAAGAGAGAGGAGAGGAGAAGAAGAGGAGATGAGAGAGAGAGGGGAGGGAAAGAGATGCTGCAGTGACCACCAGCACTACTACTACTACTAGCTGGAAAAAAAAAATAACTACGAGCACAAGCACCGCAATAATTTATCCTATTTCATTATAATTATTTTCTGATTAGTATGATGGACAGAGAGAGAGGGAAAAATTAGAGAAAAGGGAAAGCAAAGGGAGAGAAAGAGAAAGAGAGAGGAGAGAGGCGGGGTTGGATTGGCGTGAATCGGCATGAATTGGGCTTAGTGGACAATGACAGAGTCAGTCAGTCAGTCAACCATTTCATCAAGAGAGAGTAGTTACTTGTTAGTTGTTTGTTTAATTCTCTCTTTTCCAAATGCGCTTATTCCACGTTACAACATGAACTTAACCGAAACAACTACCCATTTAAAGGCAAGTTGATAATACAACACCTCACCCTTCCCTATGTCTAAAAGCGGTCGGTCGGCCACAAGTCGAAGAAGCTATGCTACTTACTTACTACTATCTCCATCACCACTTTGTCGACTCCACCCCAACGCTAAAACATACTTTGTCTGGGCCAGTAATTTTCCCACAGTAAAAAGAAACAGTCAAATAATAACTGCAGTGGTACCATAAATACACTCACTCACTCACTCATCATGACATTTGGGATGATGATAACTGAACCAAGTTCTCTTTCACACTTCCCCAGATACCAAAGTTGTATTCCAACTCTGCTTCAGGCAAATAGTAAAGAAGAAGAAAGCGAAGAACCCACCGGGTCCAGCCGATCTCACTCCTCTCGATCCATGGACCCTTCAATTGCTACATTATCATCAATGATGCATTCTTTTCCACACCTTCTCGCTTATCGAGATCCATGTTTCCCAAACTTATTTCCGGGTTCAGAGTCGCCCCGATGAGGTCATCATCAAACACTGTTTTCAGATCTGGTGTGTGTGTGGCTTGGAATTCCGAAACGAGGAGCCTCCTACTACTTAGTACTAGTAGGTAAGAGAAGCTGGGAAGATGAAACTGCTGGTGCAAAACAACCACTCTCCGTATATTATCTTTTTTTTTCCCCTCACAACTTAAGTATCTATCTATGTATGGTATATGCAAACTGTCGCTACTTTTAAAGACCCGAATAACATGCATGTTGGGCAGCTGGCAAGCACAGGTTGCCTTGTTAACTAACTACTTACTAGTTAACTAGTTAGTTAATTGCTTACCGCTGAAAGATGACTTCATCACCGCCCCGGTGGATCCTCCCAAAAAGGCGAGTGGAAACCGCCCCGCCTTCGGGGCATTTGGCTTGCCCTTTGTTGAAGGCTTGAAGCCAATCAAGCTGCCCCCTGACCGGTCAGGAATTCCCCCGTCCGGCGGCCTTTTGGTTGGTCGGGAGGCTCACTATGAACTGATCTTGACGCTTGCATCCACTTAACCTACTTTAGCACCTGAGATACCACTGTTAGTGTACACGCTACGGATGGGATGCGCACCGCCACTACCTATCTACAGTTACTATTCTCGCGGGTTGTGGCAGAAAGAAGAAATTGTTTGTTCCAATTGTTGTTGATCCCCCCGTAGCCCTGGCTCCATGCTGCTGCAAACTTCAAATCCAACCCGAAAGCTGCCCGGCCTTATGTACTCCTACCTAGTAGCAAAGATGGCAACGCCGCCCCCCTCCAAACAATGGTCGGAGGGCTCGCTTCCACTTCTCGGTTCCCTCATAAAACAGCAAGCAAATAACAATAGCAATGCGTCCCTTAGATGCGATAATGCGCCATGTTCTTCTTGATCTCGTCCACGATTTCCACCGCTTCCAGCGCATTGCGTGCCTCAAAATCATACCGCTTCTGCT